CCCCAAAGATTTAATAAAGAAGTTTAAAAATAATAAATAAACAAACAGACAAATAACTAAAAACTGTGGAAGGAGAGGAGGAGAGAGAATGAGAGGACACATCAGAGATACTGAGAGATTCCTCGAGCCTCTCCCAGCCATTGAGTCCCTAGCAATGCAAACAGGAGGTACCGAGTATCCTAACTCTCCAGTCTTAAATCCTTAGGATTTAAAGATGTCATTAGGACAAACGTGGTGCTACTTGGTTCCTCGGATACTGGTTTTTCCTGCCTTTTATCCTCCCTTTAATAAAAACTTGATAGGTTCATTAGTTCATAAATATTCTAATAAGCATTTTATGTATAACCATTTCTATAAACCCCAATAGAAATAAAAGTGGAGAAGAAAACATGAAATGATGACACAAAGATCCCATAAATATTTGTCATAAATAATATATAGGAAGGGTGTCTTAGTGGCATATCTTATCAAAGTCTACATGAACACTGGCAAAAATTTATCACATAAAACTTTCACTTCGGCACTAAGCTCCATCAGGACAATTTTAATAATCTAAATATTTGCCCAGAAAAGGAAATGTTCACTTGGAACACAAATATACACTCCCCGCAATACAAACCACTTCAATTGTCAAAGCCAGATTAAACATATTTATGCTAGAAAGGGAAAACAGGCGAGAAGATTTGAAAGTCATGCAAGAAACGCAGATTTACAAGAAGCAAATATTTTAAAACTATCAGGGAAAAAAGTCAAAACCAAAACCAAAACAAAACCCTCCTTCCAAGGAAAATGCATAAAACAACATGCTTTCTCCTCTAAAGATTGCGTGCTGGATGCATTCTTTGCATTCAACACAGCATACCTCCATGCAAAGCTGTGTTTGCTAAATGCACTGGTAACTTGTCTATCAAAGTATTACTTCAAGATAATTTATCTTATAACTAAGCAAGTAAGAGTGGCCTTTCCCATGCTGAGATCAATACAATGCCTTGTTGGTGGGAACTGTCTCCTCCTCCACACCCTAGGGTAATTTAGGGTCTATCCTACTATCACTAATAAAGTAGCCACCTACTTGCCAGTGTTCCAACAATGTACTCATCTGCCTCTGGGAGACCTGAACATCGGCATATTGATGATTATGATATAGCATACACAGGGACTTTAAACACATAAATTCAGTGTAACATTAAATAGACAGGCCACATTGAAAAGAAATGGGGAATTTTGTTCTATGGAAAAGCTTGTTGCTCTTCTAGAATGTCCACTACTGTTTGGGGTCATCTTAGACACCTGTCACATGACTCTCAGTTTCCTGCTGGCCACATCCCTGGAATTACCATGGCTATTTCAGTTCTTCCTGGAAACATGTGAATGGCTTTAAAAGAAAAAAAATCTCTCTGCTCCAATACTACTTTTCCAGGGTTGTGTCCTCAGATATGTAATTTCATATTTCCATTTATTTTGTTTCTTTTAGGAGTGACTTGCTGGATGATTGTACTTTATGTTTAGACGTGAGAAAAATCATTTTGAGAGTGGTTCTTTTATAGGCTGTATGTACAGCATCTCAAGTAGGGACACAGAAAATGTTGCATGCATGGAAGTAAGCAAAACATAGAGGCTAGCTAACTCCTTCTCCAACCTGCTCAGAAGCTGGTATGGCATCAGTACGTAGAGGCTAACTCCTTCTCCAACCTGCTCAGAAGCTGGTATGGTATCAACATGGTAAATCTCCCTGACACTGGCAGAACCTGGTGGAATTTTGTGGGCCTTTGGCCAGTTATGGAGGATGTAGACATTAATTTCTGTAGGCAAAACTCTGCATGGACTCACACTAATGGGACCCTTTAATGCATCAACATATGACAGGATATGTCCCTTTTTACATATTGTCATGCTCTGCTCAGACATCTACTCTAAGATGAGCTCCACCAAGGGTCCACTAAGTCCCCGGACACTTTGCAAACCTGTGCACCCTGTTCTAGCTGCCCCACCTACATGTTGTTTTATTGCTATGCCAGACAACTCCACCTGGAGGCCATTCCACTCACCATCCCCCAGATAAGCATGTATCTCTCCTATGTGCCCTTACCTAAATGTCTCCTCCACAAAACCCTATAGTGCTTTATTTTCCTCTCTGAATATTATCCTATTCTGTGTCCATTTCCTTCCCTCAGTGACTATCGCCTTCTAATACATGATATATATTATGCATGCTGCTTATTTGAAGTGTTGATTTTCTTGTTTTCATACATACAAAGGGTCCCTGAGGACCAGGACCATGTCTATTTTCTGTATTTCACCATCCAAAGAACACAGACTCATGATATACAATAGCATAGAATAAATGTCTTGATGAATTGATGAATAACAGGGTCATACATTAAGTAAATGGAAGGGAAGCTCCATTTATAAGAGCTCTGCTTATAAGAGCCAATATTGGCTGAGGAGAAGCAAGCAAATAGGGGCAGCAATCCACACAACCTGCTTAAAAACTGTAAGTGGGCAACTTGGATGAGCAGAGCCTCCGGCATGGAGAAGACAGAGCTGGAGGTAGAATAGGCTACATCACTTCCTGGATGTAACATTTGCTGGGGTGGGCTGTATATCCACTGTCCTACAATTCAACTGTGTGAATTCACTGTAGCATCTGAAGAAAGTCTAGCCAGTAGCACAGAGGAGCTGTCTGACAGTGACTCCTTTGACTGATGGGGCTCTGAGAGGACACATCAAGGTCAGAATCCATCCCCAAGGCCTACTGCAGAATTAGCAATGCTGTTCCACAAACTCTTAGGAGGTTGGATAAACAAGAATCTTTCTCAAAGTTGAAACCGGAATCTTAAACACCAATGATAATGCTTCACAGTTACAGTGGGGCAGGATCCTCAAGCAAGACCAAAACAATTCGTATCACTTCAGAACTTCAATTTGTAGAGAGAATGGATAAACATTTTTACTGTTGATTACTGATCTTACTCAGCTCATCATCCCTTAGCCACAATTTGGGTTACCTCGCCCTTGCAGTAACTCCCAGACATTCAAACAATTAATCCTGCTTGAAGGAGAGATGTAACACCATTGCGGATATTGGCCAGAAAATTTCACAGGGGCTTTGGAAAACCAATGGATCTGAATGTGAAATTTCTGAAATGGGGTCTGGCTGGAACCCTAATGGTTTGGTTAAATGGCTAGTTTTCTGGTTCAGCATTTCTATGCTATTACTTTCAAATTACAGACCTTCTGGGCTATCCGGCAAAGCAGCTGCTCTTGGACAGCACCAATAATCAGCAAGGTTCTTAAAGTTGAGTTGGTCAGCTCCCATCTCAGCCCTGCTGGGAAAAGTTCACCGGTCCATCAGGACCTCTTGATCCCGTCTCTCTACACCACAGCATTGGACTCCTGCCACAGCTAGATCTGAGCACTCCTGCTCACTAGTGCCTTCACACCATGACCAGGATGACACCACGTACCCAGCTGTGACATTCTGACAAAGATTCAACTTTCACAGGAGGTAGACAACCAAGTATTTGAGTCCATGAGCGGCTTTATAATTCACTTTTATTATCTCTGTTACAGTCCAACACACAAGACTGCAACATTTCCAAAACCACATCTGTCTAGGTTTAAGGAAAGAAGTCATTTTTGAATACAATTATCAGAATGATTTAACTTTAAGGAATGAAATGCACAGTGCCACTTGATTGCTGTAGTGGCTCTGTGAAGCCATTGTAATCTAATCTCTCTACATACATTGTGGGGTCCACCTGGTCTTCGAGGTCCTACTGCTACGTAGAGGAGAGCCTGCTTTCAAGTACCTCTAAGTTTTGTTGGAAAGACACCTGGGTGAATAATAAGAGATCAGGCAAAGAGATGGGCTAGAGAACTCAGTGGAGGGTCCTAGCACATGGGAAGGGTTCCTGGTAAAGGCAGTACTCAGTGCCTAAGAAATGACTAACCTCCTCATTTCAGAGTTGGAAGCTGCTGGCCCTTCATTCCAGGATCAAAAGCATGTAATTTCAGAATGTCTTGTGTAGATGAAAATATGCTCAAAATTTCATTAAAGAAGATAACTATAGAATATATTAGTTCTGGTGGATTGAGCGACTATATCGAATCTAATAACATAATATTTTATTTATTTAATAATATAATTATTAAATTTAATATACAATACATCCAAATCACAAAACAAAAATGTTGCTTACATACACACACACACACACACACACACACACACACACACCACATACACATAAACCTGAGATTTTCTTTTAGGTTGGTATAAAAGTTTTCAAAGGACAATGTGTGTGTGTGTGTCTGGGGTGAGTGTGTGTGTGCATGTGCGTGTGCCTGTGTACGCACATGTATGTGCGTATGTGCGCTCCCCTGTGCATAAGTACTCTATGTGTTATATCTGGCTGCTTTTAACTAAGTTGTCTTTAACTACAGATAATGAATTTATGCTGTGAAATTGTAAGAATATTTACATGCCTTAAAGAAACAATTAAAGGTATACTTCAATATCTGACTTGACAAAGTGTAACTATTCCTAAGCTAATCTCAATTATCTACAGTCTACTTCCATATACTTGATTAAGAGTTTATACTGGCCTTGATAGGATTAACTTCAAAGAATAATTACATGAATTTTTTTCATTGTCCTTTTCCCAGGTAAACTCAGAGATCCAGACTGTCTGATCTACTGAAAACACAGACAGAGGTCAGTCTGGTAACTATAAGCTCACTTATATATCAGTGCAGCTAAATTTCTACAACAGAGACACGAGATTAGCAATTCACAGATATTTCTAAATCAAAGGTTGCCATTCTGTATTTCTCCACACTCATAGTTTGACATTTCTTCAATTCATTCACAGCAAAGGACTTTTAGCAAGTTGTTCAACACATTCACAGAGACCTTCTGGATCCCACCTTCCTTGTGCCCCTGGCACTGCCACTGCTCCCTAGGAGCACACCCCCACAAAAGAGCAAAGGGCCCTTACCTGGCTGAAGCTCTGGGCGGCAGCTCGGGCTTGTGTGCTGCGTGCTGGGAGCTGAGAAGGGGCTGTGTCACCCAGGGCCAGGGTCTGGTTGCTATGGTAGCTGGCCGGATACTGGAAAGACCCTTCAGGTTTGGAATTGAGCTGAAGTGCACTCTGGGAGAGCAGGCTGGGCCCTGCGTTGAAAGTCATTTAGAGCAGTCAGTGACAGTTTCGGTGAAGCAGAAATGACATGTATTATTTATTGAGAGTAGCCTAGAATTATCACACGCACATGACTTCTACACTTTGAATTCTGAGAACTAAAATGACCATATAATAATTCAGCTCCAGATGAGATGAATGTGTGTGTGTGTGTGTGTGTGTGTGTGTGTGTGCTAAAAGTTCTCAGAGGAGTAGATTTTTCAAATGATCTCATCCTGACCTACATAGAGACATTTCTTATGAAGCAAATTAATCAAGTAGTTATTTTTGGATCAGACAATATCAGAAACATTTGAAATAATGTAAAAAAAGCTTCAGCTTTTTTGTACATTTTAATTGCATTAATATAATTATATATCACACTTCATGACTGGCATGCTAAAACACTCAAAAACCTTCTGATCAGTGAGAGCTTCCTTTGTATGAATAATGATGTAATACCACAGTGCCAGAGAGCAGACAGTGCTTAAAATATTAATAGCTGTTCATACGATGTAGGATTCACCCTGGTCTCATCTAGTCCCTGCGGACTAGTTATCTTTGCCGTCACAGCAATGCTCAGCAGGAGAACAAAGAGAAAGTTATGGTGTTAAGATTGACGCTGTCAACATGGTGTGCATTATAGGGAATGAGGGGAGGAGGATGGGCAGGTCCTGACTTGAAAATCACATTTTGCACATACTGTTTGGCTCTATTTTCCTGTATTTCACTTGTATTGAATTCCTGTAAGAGTTTACACATTTTATTTCAGGAAAAAATTAAAACTCAAACTAAATATTCACTTTGGGAGTTTAAACCTTCACCACGAAGTGAGCATACATTTGCCAGCTTCCCTGGTGTGTGTTTGAGATGGCGGGTGGAGGAACAGTGTTAGGGGAGCCAGAATTTGGCGATACCAATGTCTTCGTGTCTCTTTGCAACATGGTTGGAAGCCAGTTCTTCATTCATGCAGAGTAATAAAACATATGGCCTTACAGGACAGTCATGGAACATCCTTGATGCTTGCTTTGCTTCTCAAAATAACAGGATCTTTTCTGTTAAGTGGGAAATTTCAGGGTTCTTATTTGTCTTTAAACATGACATTCTCTTTCAGATGAAACTCGGGATTGACAAGAACTATTCTTTGAAAACTCTAACTTGCCTATTTTTAGGTGTATTGGTTCACATGACCCTCGCCATTTAAGGTCTCTGCCTTCCCTCATTCCCTATTGGGATTTCAAAACAAGAGGATACTGTTTTACATTGTGTTTCCATTTAGTCCCAACCTTATCATGAATGGTTTTTACAAAAGTACAAGTGCAACTCTTTTTCTTTTAACACAAAACATCATCCCAAGGAAACAATATATATCAGACAGTTATGTTTTCAACGGCTTGCAAAAAGCCCAGGTAATCTCTTTTGATGGTATTACAAGCTCAATCGCCCGGATGATGCCGTCTATGTGGGGAGAGGCATTCCCTTTCCTTCAGGACAGTAGAAGTCCCCTGTGCTGATTACAGCGGTAGAAGCTGCCAGCCACGGCAGAGTCAAGAGTATCTCTTCATACTAGAAAATGGGCAGGCAGAGTTCTGGGAAAGCTTTTGGAAGCATAGTAGGAAACTCCATGTGGGGTAGTGGTCCACGGAGAAGAGACAGGTCTTCACTGGAAGAGCAGTGAAGAGTTCTGGCCCAGTGCTTTAGTCCTGGTCCTCAGTGAAGACCATAATGGAGAGAGAGAGCATGGTGGAAGAGCAATGGCTCTTCCCTATGTGAGAGAGGAAGTTTCACAGTGTCTTAGTTTGTTATCTCATTCGGGATAGTAGATGGGCACATAACAGCCTGCACTGGGCACACTTTCCTCCCACAGTGCACTTCAAGGGCAAGGGGGGTCATAGCAGACACAACAACAGTGCAACAGAGTGAATTAAGAGAGAAACAGTAATTTCACATCATTTAACATAATTCACAAAGCTAAATGCCCACATATTTTAACTATTTGCCTTTGAAGAGAGTATGTGATTTACTCCAATGAAGTTTTCCTGAGTAGCAAGTTAAATAATTTTGTGTCCTATGACTTCACACAATTATTCCCAGAAATGTACAAATGCTGTTTATATAGAATTTTTCAAATAACAACATCATATTCTTTTTCAAAAATGAATTGCTATTAAAATGATGGTTTACCTGCTCCTGAGAAATGCATCATGGGGTAATCAAACCTGCTCATCTTTTATAGAATCCGTCATGTATTTGATCAATACTCAATGGAAACAAACCAAGATTCGCTATCTCATTATCCTGCTAATACATCTCAAGCCCTGAAACCAAGATGTGCTCTGACAATGATAATTGTTCCAACGAGCAGTATCATCACATTGCAATACCGACATGTCACCTGCCAAGGACAAAACAGTCAGAACAACAGCCCAGGTCCTCTGTGCACCTTACAATGTCTTCTTCCCACTGTTCATTTGACTTTGAACCAGTAAGATTTTTTTCTTTCAATTTTGGAAGACATGCATACTTGAAAATATAAAAAATGGTTAAAAAAATCACACAATATCCCTAAATTATTTCATAATGGAAATTAAAATTGCATACAAATTTCCATTACTTGATTAATGTTATGGTGTATTGAGGCAAAAAATATATAAATTTGTCAAAGATTTTTTTAAAAAAATTTAGTTTAGGGATTTAAATTATATTTCTTTTCTTTCTTTAGAACTTTTGGATTTATATGTAGAGTTGCTTGGGCTAGTAACAAACTTAGGCAATATTCTTGAGGCCGTGGAGTGTATGTGTTGGAGGATGATGGGGTAATGTGGAAGAATTTAGTGGGGGAAACAGAGGACATTTTGCCTTGGATGAAAATACTGTCTTCAGCACCAATAACTACACCGGAAGACACTCTAATTCCAAGCACCTGAAGTTGACAATTTCTGCCTTTACGGAAAACCGAAGTCACGCTCTGGAGGCAAGGTTCTAGAAAACTGAGCTGGAAGGTCAAGACTGGTCATCGTAGAGTTCATCAAAGAAGAGCCCTGAACATGGGTCAGAAGTCAATTGGGAACGACCGTTCCTTGAAGGTCAAGGAGACCTGGTCAGTTTGTGTTTCAGACAGTCGTTTTGTCCTTGATCAACCAACCCTTCCCATTCTGACTAGATGGAGGAGAAAAATTTCCAGGAACTGCCATAGTTGATCCCACTACTTGTATGGGATGCCGGGAGCAAGGGCTACTGAGAGTGAGGGAAACACCCCAATAGGCTCCCACACATATAAACTGACTACAAGAGCACACAGCAGCCTTCCGGAAAGGCTGCACTTTACATGTCATTGTTCCCAGGAGACGAGCAGAGAGGGACAGGCAGCGCTAGAGCTGATGTCTCCGACTCAGTGGCTGAGAATGAGTCCTGACCCTCAGGCTTCTGTCTCCTCGGTCAGGAAGTGCTGTCCTTTAAACCCACAATACTGTGTCTCACACACATGTCAGCCTTTCAGGATGAAACAGTCCACAAAACAGACAGGCCCCTGCAGCAGGCGAAGCCTTCACTTCTCAGATTTGATTATTTTCCCAGTCAACTTCTACTTCTGAGTCCCAACCTCAGTAAATACAAAGGCTGGGATGCTTTTTTTTTACAGAGAGCTTTAGACCCTACAGGTTATATTAGCATAGACACCATGATACACAGTCATTTTCTCATGAAATTAACTGGGTACTTTAAGAATATCTAAGACCATATGTGGTTGGCCATGTATATATGTTTGCAAAGCTTTGAGGAGACCATATCTGCAATTTCCAGTTCTTATCTGACTTAGCTGAACATCTGTTCCAGATATATTAAATCTGTTGCAGGTACATTAAATCCCAATTAAACTACACAGTGTCCAATAATACAGAAAGGCCAGAGGTCCCCTAAGTTCTGTCTGCACGTCATCCTTTAAATCACAGCAATGTAAGTAAAATGATGGGGTATGTACTGAAAAAAACAATCAACCCAGAAGAAGACAGCAGATGTGGGCTAGTCCTCTTACAGACTCCCACAGCCATATCTATCGGCAGGAGCAGTCATGGCAATAGCAGGGGCTCTTGACTAGGTCCCAAGAACTGTACTGAGCACCTCACACCTATTAACAAACGGACGTTTAAAATAGTCTCAGCAGGAATAGCGCTGTCAGCTATACTTGCCCAATCACAGAGTCACTCTCTGCTAGCAATAAAACCGTGAACGGGATTTGTTTTCCTGGAAACACGTCACAGGGCTGTCTCACATAGCGCGTATTGCTTTCTTTCAACACACTTCCCATTTCTGTTCTGTGGGTGGGGGTATCTAATACATCGTTTTGCGAAGTGGCCTGCTGCAGTAAAAGAACTGAAAACAAATGGATACTTAATGTCGCCTTCAGGAGTTGAAAAGCTAAAATCATTGTCAATATGAGAAAGTTGTTCTTGTTTTCTCAACACGAAATTTCTTTCTCTGCTAACTGCGAAGCTCATTCTCAAATATTAAATGCTTCAATATCACCTTCTCCATGAACCTTTCATTGATG